CCCATTCTCTAAGAGGTGGTGGTTACCCATGAAGCAACTCAAGCATCCTCTACCAATCCAGAGGATCACACTTCGGTAAACCTACACTCACCCTTATGATCAATTCCCATGGTTCCCGTGGTTCCCGTGATTACTCTCCCTTGTTTTCCATTAACATTTTATTAACCAATCAAACGTCAAGATACGGAAAAAGGAAATAGGTAAGGGACTTGCCAGTTTATTGGATATGAAGACACCCCATGACACCAGAAGTTTTTTTGTGTTTTTTTTAGCATGTCAGTGAGTTCTCAAATGTTGAATTTCTAGCAAATTCCATCGTATTCAATGGTATTGCCAACCAAACATTGGGCCTGGTTTGTAACTTGCCTTCTGATTGGTCCATTAGACTGAGTAGAGCAGCAAATCAATTGGGTTTTGAATATCCAATCTGATTATCTACCGCTAAACAAAGATTTGAGGATATCCCATCACGGGGTCAGAACGACATTTCACCCGACCAGTCAGAGCGTCGCTTACCAGATCAGGAAAGTGACAGTCAGAACGTATTTTCTAATCATGCAACCTCGAAAAAGTTAACACAGGGTATTCCGAACGAGAGTTACGGGCTTACAACTGAATCCATACAATCTGTTTGCCATTCCAGAATGCTCTTTTGTTCAGTTTTCAAATTTTCAATCGAGAATTTGTCAAGATATGTTTCTAAGCGTAGTCGCCAGTTTGCAACTGCTTAAAGCACGAGAAAACTGCCCTCTGATTTGCTAATATCGTCTTCTTGTCAGCTATTTCATTGGTCGGTCAAAGTTCGCGAAAGGTCGATCTGACGCGGTACAGCGAGAACTGAAGATCTGAATTTAATGAGATTGATGAGAATCAAGGGAGTGTAGTTTAGAGAGAACCACAGGAATGGATCCAGGGTAAGTGAAGGGTTACCGAAATGCGCGCCCTTGAGATATAGAAGATGTAATCCCTGTTGTCGCATCCCAGTTGCGTAGATTGATGTTCATGCTGCCAATCACAGGATTGTCTTGTCCAGACTCGATTATTTACAGGCCACCGTCATATACCCTACCGATTCAATACAATTCTGACATGACCTAAAATTTGAGCGTTATACCTACAGATCATTAAATGCATTTCACCTTGTAAAAAACAAGGCACTACCGGAAGCGTATGTATACGTACCATAGTAACCGCAAAGCATTGATTGACCATAAGACAGAAGGTCAACGTCTAACTGAACGACACTGGGACACTGACCAACAACCGTCTGTAGACATGCAATGTAGGAACTGAAGTACCTGCAATATAAAGTGAGTGAGTGAGTGAGTTGGGGTTAACGCCGCTTTTAACAGTATTCCAGTCATATCACGGCGTGTCAGCTTAATGTTGGAGGAAAGCCCGAAGTGATGCAGGTCTTCGACGTTTACCGCTTCGGTGAAACCCACGAGCACGGGTATGGTGCTGACAAACCTAGAAACATAATCGGGGCGAACCGGGATTCGAAACCACAATCATAGCTTTCTGGCGTGCCCAAGGGACGCAACTCTGCACAGCGAATCGCGGCGCCTTAGACGACTGGGCCATCCGTGCCCCCTGCAATATAAAGACACGTAAATGAGTTGGTTAACGTTGTCTTTTCGAACCGTGACTGCTGGCCTTTTAGCAATAGCGCCGAGTGCATCGTGACTTTTCAACGTGTGAGTAAAGTCGTACACCGCTTTCAACTTTATTCCAGCAATATCACGAAGGGACACACCGGATATGGGCTTCACAAATGTGGGAGGAATCGAACCCGGGTCTTCGGTGTGACGAGCGAACTCTTTAACAACTAGGCTACACACCGCCCGCGATTATTCAAGGGACATCTGTCATGTTAAACTTAAGTTTGCCAACGTATTTTTTGTATTTATGTAACCCTTTAGTATAACCAGGGGATCAGGGCATGTTGTTATACTCCAGTGACCCCTTTAAGTCGAAGCTAACGCACTATGTCAAGATATCGTGGATGTAAAGTGACCCCTTTGTATCGAAGTTAACCCATGGTTAACTGGTATCTTTGATTTCTCTTTGTTTTTTTTGTGTGTTATTTTGGTTGGTTTTTTGGGCGTGTGTGTGTTTTTTTAAATTGTTTTTGTTGTTGTTGTTTTTTAATTTATGACAGAAAGACACGATTACATGTAGCCCGCATCCCCACATTCGCACCTCATCAGGGGATAGTGGGCGATTTTGAAGGTATCCTACCTATAAAAGCGATCTCTTAATGCAGAAGATCAATGTATTAAGGTATCTTGAAAATTCAAGTGGTCATGCTATGTTGAAGCATGCCCATGACATCAGGGTATCTTGTATACTGAAGTGAACAATATATATATTTGTAGGGTTTGAGTGTATAAACTGGAATGAATGTTGAAGATCCCCGTAAGAAAAGTAAGTTAGAACTGGTCCCGAATCTATGCTGGTCGCAGGTCACCAAACTGATTGGGTGGACAGACGCAGTGACTTGGTTCATACCGTGTCGACGTGTTTACGGACAATGCTCATGATATCAATCACTAGACTGTCTGGTTCAGACTCGATTATTTACATCCCGTAATGTTGTCTGAATAGTGCTAGCAAAACTGGGGGTGTAAATAGGTGTTGTGAATTGTCACACGTCGCCGAGTTTCCTTCAACTTACCCACATTGTTCATGCGCACTTGAAGAAGAGGAGGCGTTGAATGTGGCCGTGAAGGTTTCCCCGCATTGCCTAGCCGTTTGACAGGAATCTCCTGACTCGGGAGCTTCAGATTTAATCAGAATGGAAATTTATAAGGATTGCAACACAATTAGAAGGTTTCAACCAGATATCTTTTTTTATATTGCTTCGAATAGGGTGCTACATTCGTCTTAAACATCTTCTCCTGGAAACGCTGACGAAGAGCTGAAACTTGCCATGCTTGTTCCTATTATTGTTGACACCAAAAATTGTTCAAGACAATCGACTCCCATTTCGAACAGCCATATTGAAAATGCTATTGATTGCCATTACTCAAGACATTATTGCTGAAAATTTGCTGAAGTTTGGTACGTGTGCAGTAACAAATTGGGCTTCAATATATGCGTTCCTGTTTTTGCGGCATCGTACTATTTTTACCATGATTTCACTTTTGCACAAACATGCCGCACATGTTACACCCATCACAAACACATGCAAAGTCAAGTCAAGCGTCATCTTTCCGAGGCAAGTGAGTTAATTGACTATAAAAGTCCAGTTTCCACCCTTGCCGAACTAGGCTGGTATTATGGAGTTACATTTTGGCTTGACTAACGAGTCTATGCATAGTCCAATCAAAATCGCACACCGAAATCGAAATCCGGTTCGTAAACTGTCATGCACATTTCGGTCGACTGCAGGATTTGCAAAGCATGTGCTCCGCTAACTCGTTGTCAATTGATATTTTCATCTTCTTTTCATGTTTTTAATCAATGTGCTCACGTGATTTGATGCACTTCGCGAAGTAAGACTCGTTTGATCACATTATAGATCTTGATTATCGATCAGATCGTCTTGACTAGGCGCCACCATTTTGTTTGAAGCAAATGCAAGTGATACGAGAGGTTGAATCTGATTGGTCAATAGGAGAGGCATAGAAAGGACATTACTGGTAATAGCCACTGGTGGCGCTACGATCGAGCCCAGGAATTCCTGCCTAGTTCGGCAAGGGTGAAAACTGGACTTTTAAAGTCAGTTAACCTCTTGCCTCGGGTAGATGGTCAAGTGTTCACCTGAACAAACACGGAAATGAATGGTACACATACAAATATCAATTGCTCCGGACATCATTTTGGTCACTGGTGCGTTAAATTTTGGAATGTCCACCACATGTGAACCAAAATACTTTTGAAAGTTTTCCTAATAATGCCTTTGACGTAATACTGATCAAACATCCTTTGAGCAAGAGTCGTATGACGCTATTTGCAATCTTAGTAGAAATACACCATTATCAATGCTTGATTTTTTTACACCACCCAAAAAGAGATATAGCAACAACAAAAAATACATGACATTTCGATTCTCTATAGAAACATATTCCATTTAGCGTAAAGGGCAAAATGGTGGACGTTATACGAATGGATCACTGAAAATCATTGACAACACCAAGTGTTCGCGAAAATGGTAAGCATGCCTGCCTTGACGATGGCACCGGCCACTCACACAATCTGCTTAAAACAGTAAGAATTTGCTCCTTGCCTAAAGCCGCCCAGAAGAACACCTACGAAACCTATTTCAAAATGTCACCAATTAAAAACATCTTGTAAATGTAGGAAGTTTTTGCTACCCCGCCCGACAAAATAATGCGATCACTTCAAAAGAAATTAATTGGATTTTAATATGTTTTTATATCACAAACGCTGTCGTTTCGAAAAGGAGTAATATTTTTCATATAAGAAAGGTATAATTAACGAACCAGTTTGTCGTCTCAGCCTTTGTCCACTGCTTCCAAGCTGTTAAAAATCAAGCAAAAGTGATAACTGTTAATAACAGTTGAAGTTAACATTGTACACAAATGCTATTTGATTCCAAAACAGTATTGTTTGTTTGTTATGTAACGCCGCGCTCAGCAATATTCGAGCTATATGACGGCGGTCTGTAAATAATCGAATCTGAACCAGACAATCTTGTAATTAATATCATGAGTATCGATCCAGCAATTGGGATCCATGACATGCATCAACCAAGTCAGCGAGCCTAATAACCCGATCCCGTTAGTCGCCTTTTACGACAAGCATAGTCGTCTCTTACGGCAAGCATGGGTTGCTGAAGACCTATTCTACCTCGGATCTTCACGGGTCTCAAAAACATTAACAACGACTGTATGCTGATACTACTTCATAAAGTATTCAATGTGGATGTTTAATTGATCAGATTCCAAAACGAGTGCATACAAATAGAAATTATAAAGCACACAAAGTGAAAACAGAAATATTATATAATATGTATTTTGACGCAATACACCTACCTCGGGCATAGCCAAAGCCTGGCCCAGCACCACAACGAGTACGGCTATTCTTAGCATGACGAATTCTAATTGTCAAGTGTTTAGTTGAAGAATGTGTTATAAATTTATATAGCAGTGCGAAAACGTTGAAACACATTTAAGAAAATAAAATTCAAAACACACCTGTATATAATCAATAGATGTCTTCTGCATTAAATGTGATAGTGTCTGAAATGTCAGCAGAGGACGATCTGAATAAAGAGAAATTACAATGAATGTGTATTCAGCTTTTTTCGTACATGTACGTCACTTAAATGGACAGTATTGCACCTGAATTAGGGCTGTGCATGGCATGATATCTGCATATGCGTTTTTATGTCAAAACATAATTTTTTTTTAACACAGCCATTGTTCGTGCGTAGACACAAACGCGTCTCCAAACTTATGTTACAGGTGTCATTTGATTGTCTGTCAACGTCGCACTCAGCAATATTCCAACTACATGACAGTGAGCACGTACCGAATCGATTACGCACCAGTCGAATGGACATTGCTACGTTGTCGGAGCTACTGTTTGTCACGGAGCTGAGCTGACTATGTTTGAGCATGTGGTAGTTTCACTCCTCTAATTGTACACGTGGGGATTCCGGGTGAGAATATAGGCCTCCAGCAACCTATGCTTGTCGTAAGAGGCGACCAAAAGGAACAGGTGGTCACATATGCTGATTTGGTTGATAGCATGTATTCCAACGGCGTGGACCCGTGAAGATCCAGGGTAGAATAGAACTTCAGGAACCCATGCTTGCAGCAAAAGGCGACAATGCTCGTCGTAAGAGGCGACTAACGGGATCGGGTGGTCAGGGGCGCTGACTTGGTTGATGCATGTCATCGATCTCAATGGCGTGGATCGATGCTAATGTTGTCAATCACTGGATTGTCTTGTCTCGATTATTTACAGACCGTCGTCATATAGCTGGAATATTGCTGAGCGCGGCGTTAAACAATAAACAAACAAACAAACAAACATCCAACTGCGTGCAATATCCCCCGGCAATATTCCATCTTCATTGTGCATGGCACCTGGGTATGATGACACACAATACAAAATAATTACCTAGCGTGATCACCCGATCCATCAGGTCGTCTCTTAAAACGAATTCTAACCCGGAATTCACAAGGGTATTGTCGAAACAAATTGGGATCATCCGAAGCATGTGTTGAGCTAATTTATCTGCAAAACATGTGTCCCCAACCAGTGCCACAGTGTCAGCAAAGGGCCCGCAATTAGCTGTGCAGAGTTGCGTCCCTGGGAAGTGTCAGAAACCTGTCATAGTCACACTTTGGCTTAACTAATGCCGACGTGACTTTAAATTTCAACCCACTATTCGTCCTGGTGATGTTTCTTGTTTTGTCACGGCTAATGTTGCACCACTTCCGGTTTTCCTCCTACACGCCGTGATACAACTGAAATACTGGAGTTAGTTTAAACTCAATCATTCTTTTCACTTTGAGACTATTTCGAGCTCTATTTAAAGGTACTCAAGTTCAAGAGGTTTTATTGTACTCATAAACTATAACAAGGGGGCACGGGTGGCCCAGTCGTCTAAGGCGCCGCGATTCACTATGCAGAGTTGCGTCCCTTGGGCACGCCAGAAACCTATGATTGTGGGTTCGAATCCCGGTTCGCCCCGATTATGTTTCTAGGTTTGTCAGCACCATACCCGTGCTCATGAGTTTCACCGAAGTGGTAAACGTCTTAGACCTGTATCACTTCGGGCTTTCCTCCCACATTAAGCTGACACGCCGCAATATAACTGGAGTATTGTTGAAAGCTACAACTGAAACCATGACAACATTGGGTAACACTACATTGCATTGCCATATAACAATCGCTATATCAGAAATCGAATAGAATTACTCAAAAAAGAGTAAATGTACATGTACTATATACCTTTCAAAGCGTTTGGCAGATGGTCAAAATCATATTTTCTAAAGTTGTCTCTAAATATTCTACCATGACATTGAAGAATGTTTGATTCTGATTGGTTACAAAGAGGTCTCCTTTTCGCAACTGATATCTCTTCTACATAAAGTTTTTTCACACAAAATACGTGCGTATGAATACACCGATAGCCTGATGATGAGATAACAAAACTTAACGAAAGGATACCGTTTGCGTAGAAATAATGACGTTTATAAAACCCTCAGGGACGTGTTCGGTAATTTTCTCATTTAAACAATCAATCTTAAAAGTTTTTGACAACACTTTTAAAGAAGGGATACCGTTTGCGTAGAAATATTAACGTTTATAAAACCCTTAGGGACGTGTTCGGTAATTCTTTCATTTAAACAATCGATCTTAAAAGTTTTTGACAACACTTATAACGAAGTGATACCGTTTGCTTAGAAATTATAACGTTTATAGAACCCTTAGGGACGTGTTCGGTAATTTTCTCATTTAAAAAATCCATCTTAAAAGTTTTGACAACACTAACGAAGGGATACCGTTTGCGTAGGAAGAATAACGTTTATAAACCCTTAGGGACGTGTTCGGTAATTTTCTCATTTAAACAATCGATCTTAAAAGTTTTTAACATCAGTCAACGAAGGGATACCGTTTGCGTGGAAATAATAACGTTTATAAAACCCGTAGGGACGTGTTCGGTAATTTTCTCATTTAAACAATCGATCTTAAAAGCGTTTTTATATATTGTGAGGATTGGCAGGGGGTTTGGCAGGGGGTATTTCAAAAGTCCATCAGGAACCACTCATTCCTTCCAAAGGCCACAAACAAATGTCCCGACTCCACTGCAGAGTCACTGCACAACTACCTGGTCACAACAGCTTATCAGACATGATGAAATTTCAGAACCCACGCAATAAAGTAAAACATACGCGAACCACTGTGTCGCCACACCTGACACATTTCTTTCACATGCTGGCGTCGAATGCCGCGAATTCATGAAAGTCACAGGTGACAAATATGAAAACTCCTTCGTGTCAGCAAATGCAAGTGAATCCTCTGCAGCTATACCTTACTTCTGGGAGGCTCATGTGACAATCGGGGCGGTCGGGTAGCCTAGTGGTTAAAGCGTTCGCTCGTCACGCCGAATACCCGGGTTCGATTCCCGACATGGGTACAATGTGTGAAGCCCATTTCTGGTGTCCACGGCCGTGACATTGCAGGAATATTGCTAAAAGCGGCGTAAAAATATACTCAATTACTCACTCATATGACAATCACGTTGTATCAACGGGATCATTAACAGTAAATCTACAGGTTCATGTTGAACAACGTACCATATGGATTGGGGTTGCCATGCAACTTATCAATACAGTACAGTGACTGTCAACGACAACTTTGGCAGTTTAGCAGACAGGGGCACTTGACAGTAGTGACCAGTTACCGCGATGTCGGTCAAGTTCAGCAACATCTCATTTCTGGGTGGAGACGTATATATTTTGAACTTGGATTTTTCACTGGGGGAATTGCAAACTAGTAAGACGTACTCATTTAATATAAATAACAGATATTCATCAATAAAGTTTTTTTGAGAATAAATTAGTTCAGTATTCTTTTCACTATTTATTCAACTTGTAATCCCTATAATGGAAGATATTATGGTTTATTTATGTCCCAGAAATGTCTTGTCGCGGTGATTTCCAAGATATGAAGTGTGGCGTGGATTTCAGTACTTAATAAACTTGTCTGTCTGAAACATGCAGGGCGTTGTGGTGAAAGGTTTTATGGGTGGATAAAGAGCACGGGTGGCCCAGCACGCCAGAAACCTATGATTGTGGGTTCGAATCCCGGTTCGCCCCAATTATGTTTCTAGGGTTGTCAGCACCATACCCGTGCTCATGGGTTTCACCGAAGTGGTAAATGTCTTAGACCTGCATCACTTCGGACTTTCCTCCCACATTAAGCTGACACGCCGTGATATAACTGGAATAATGTTAAAAGCGGCGTTAAACCCAACTCACTCACTCACTTATGGGTGGATTACTGAACACCAGTGATGATACCAGGTGTTCGAAAATCACTTGGTAAGCATACCCTGCTCTGGGGGTAGCACCCGCCACTCGCACATCTTACATTGGAAGGTAAGTGCCAGTGAGAAAGGAGGTGTGAAAGAGCTGTGTGAAGTCCATGACGTATGGGACCATTCGTCACCACTCGCCCCTTTCCGTAACCTGCAAGAAGACTCGCCCCCCTCTCGATGAATGTAATGTGCGAAAATACGACAAACCAATCAGAATGCGCGTATGATTTCGAGTTCTTTGTCAAATAATCCCTCAGAAATATTTTTTTGATTTTACATATGTCTTGCATCTAAAAATATACCCAAGGCACAGTTAAATGTGTTCAATCATACTGTATAATTCCGCATGTCCCGATGTCCTTTAAACTGCATCAGAAATATATATAATACATGGGGAAATATATGTGAACCATTACGCAACGAGTAGACAATTTTTTTAGGTATGCCCGTTTGCGCTAAGACGGAACCTAGTCGCAAAAATGGCCATGAGAGGGGCACGAGTCGCTATTCGGCTTGTCCCGGAATAACACGAGTTGGTCACGAATGGTATGGGATAGCACGTATAACAAACGACGTGTCATATTTGGTTTTGATTGTTTGTTTGTTTGTTTGTTTGTTGTTTAACGCCGCACTCAGCAATATTCCAGCTATATGACGTCGGTCTGTAAATAATCGAATCTGGACCAGACAATCCAGTGATTGACTTCATGACCATCGATCTACACAGTTGGAATACGATGACATGCATCAACCAAGTCAGCGAGCCTGACCACCTATTCCCGTTAGTCGCTTCTTACAACAAGAAAATTCGCCTTCACGACAAACATCGGATGTTAAAGACCTGCACTAGGCTTTGATACAGGCTGGTGGACACTCTTGCCTCGGGAAGATGAAGGTGTAGCTGATGGTATGTTGATCGAAATGAAGGGCTTTTCTAAATATTTTTTATGGGTAGATAGATGCTCGTCGTTGAGACAGAGAGACGCCATGGAAGGTGAGTGAGTGAGTGAGTGATTTAGTCGGGTATAACGCCGCTTTAAACAGTATTACAGTTGTATCATGGCGTGTC